TCCTTGACCCTCTGCAGCAAGCGTTTCAGGTCCTCCTCAGTTTCAGCAAGCAGGGTTGTGTCATCTGCATAACACAGACTGTTGATAGATCTTCCACCAATCCTGACACCACACTTATCCTCATAGAGCCCAGTCTCTCAGATAATCTGTACTCAAACAAATATGAAAACCTAGAGGAAATAGACAAATACTTTAAAATGCACAACCTACCTAAACTGACACAAACTGAAACTGAACATCTGAACAGACCTGTTACAAAAGAAGTAATTGAAAAGGTAATAAAAAGACTTCCAACAAAAAAAAAAGCCCTGGACCAGATGGTTTTACAAATGAATTTCATCAAACACTCAGAGAAGAACTGTCACCAATTCTACATAAACGATTTCAGGAAACAGAAAAAGATAGAATTCTCCCAGACTCATTCTATAAAGCAAACATATCCTTGATACCAAAGCCAGGAAGGTACACCACCAAAATAGAAAATTATAGGCCAGTATCTCTCACGAACACAGATGCAAAAATCCTTAATAAAGTCCTGGCCAATAGAATCCAACAATACATCAAAGAAAAAATTCATTATGACCAAGTGGGATTCATAACAGGTATGCAAGGATGGTTCAACATAAGAAAAACAATTAATGTAGTTCATCACATTAACAAAGCAAAGAACAAGAACCACATGATCCCATCAATTGATGCAGAAAAGGCCTTTGACAAAATCCAACACACTTTCCTGATTAAAATACTCAACAAAATAGGATGAGAGAAGAATTTCTTCAACAGAGTAAAAAGTATTTAGGCAAACCGGAGAGCCAACATTGTTCTCAAAGGAGGGAGGTTAAAGGCATTCCCTTTAAGGACAGGAACTAGGCAAGGATGCCCACTATCACCTCTCCTATTCAATATTGTATTGGAAGTCTTAGCGATAGCAATAAGACAAGAGAGGGAAATAAGAGGTATCCAATTTGGCAAAGAGGATGTAAAATTATCTTTCTATGCAGATGATATGATAGCACACTTAGAAAACCCTAAAAACTCAGCAAGAAAACGATTTGACACTGTGGACCAATTCAGCAAAGTGGCAGGATACAAGATCAAAATACAAAAATCAGCTGGATTTCTCTACAGTGACAAAGAGAATACAGAGCCAGAATTAAGAAAAACAATACCATTCACAACAGCTAATCACAAGGTTAAATACTTGGGAGTAAATGTAACCAGAAGCACAAAGGATCTATTCAAAGAAAATTATGAAACATTACTACAAGAAACAAAAAGAGACCTGGAGAAGTGGAAGAATATCCCTTGCTCATGGATAGGACAACTCAACATTGTGAAAATGGCAATACTACCAAAGGCAATTTACACATTTAATGCAATCCCAATACAAATACCAATGCCATTCTTCAACGAGATTGAAAAGGCAATCTCCAGTTTCATTTGGAATGGAAAGAAGCCCTAAATAAGCAAAGCACTCCTTACAAAGAGAAACAAGATAGGAAGCATCTCACTCCCTGATTTCAAATCCTACTATGCTGCCATGATGGTCAAGACAGCAGACACATAGATCAATGGAATAGAATTAATAATCCAGAAATCAGCCCATCTATCTATGGTCAACTGACTTTTTGACAAGGAGATGAAATCAGTTAAGTAGGGAAACAACAGCCTTTTTAACAAATGGTGCTGGCAAAATTGGAAAAATATCTGCAGAAGACTCAAGCAAGATCCACACCTCACTCCATATACAAAAACCAACTCAAGGTGGATCATAGACCTAGGACTAAA